GAGAATGGAGTGGTGAGTTAAAGCACTTTTGATGCAAAGAAGGTTCACAAACTAGGTTTCCTAGTTTCAAAAAATAAATGGTCAAAGTTACAAGTTACAGTTACAGTGTATAGCATCAGTGGATGAAATTATGCATGATATGGAGGAAAATGAATGAGAGTTTTTGTTTTCCTTCTAGCCACTGGCTAGGTCACTTTAAAAAAGGGATCACATAAATTGATGGGAGCTATTGATGGCCACTAGTTTTGCCGTTTATACAGTATGTAATCACTGAACGGTATGACTCAAAACACTGGAGAATGCAAACTGGAGGTATTACAGGTTTTTGGTCCTATTCATGAACTTGCTTGAAGCATCTCATTAGCCATTACACAAAATGGTCGTGTTTACTGAATTTCTCCAATTCCTGAAATTAGTCTCAATAAGGAATGTTTTTCCAGTATCAAGGAGAAAAGGGTTATAGATCCCCATGCCTCTTACTATTTAATGCCATCTGCATTTTGAAACATCAATTATTTTGCATATAAAGTGCAAAAAACGGCTTAGTTCCCAGAACACACTTATGGCTATCCTACCCATGATTTTTTTTCAATCATCCCAATTCTCTGGGTTCACACTGCATAAAATAACCCCAGTGGCTACTTTGCATAATGCACCTGTTGTAACCCTGATCAAAGAACTGGGAAGGAACAAAGAAAAAAATATGTGAGCTACCTTGAGGCTTGAAAAGAAGTCATTAGTGCAAGGAGTTAAAGCCTCCTCCCTTTTTTTCTCATTTATATTAGAAAAACAAAAAGACCCAAATAGTTATTAATCCAGATCTTTTTTTTCTGTTCCCCCTCCCCAATTCCTCCTATTTAGAAGTATCTCTTTGTTACAATCTGAATGCATATTAATTTAACCAAAGGAAGGAAGGATAATTGAAATGTTGGCTGGAATTATGGGAATTACAGTGCAGCGTATCTGGAGGGCATTATTATTAGGAAAGCAACCTTATTATAATATTATATTATCTGGTCTCCTTGGTGCATTCTTAAGTTTCTTTGTCAGAATTAATTTCAGCTTCTCAGGGAAAATGGTATGCTTTAGCATAGAACATCCTTATTATTAACATAGACTTGGTTCACATGCAACATACTGCATCAGAAACTAGCCAGTCATCTTTTTATGTCAGCAAACCTGGTCTGAATGACAAATTCATGGTTTAGTGCAATGTTTCTCAATCTTGGAAACTTCCAAATGTGTGGACTTTAATTCCCAGATTGTTCAGTTAATCAGTTCTAGGACTGAAGTCCGCAAATCTTAAAAGTTGCTAAGGTTGAGGAAGCACTGGTTTAGTGGGCTGTGTGAATTCACAAAATCAGATTAACAGATCAACTGCTAACAGATTAACAGATTGCAACTTCTATTAAGTCCTTAATAATAAATTGCTATAGTTGCTCTTTGATAGCCTAAATGGATCATTCAACAAAAGAGGGGGGGGGGAAAAGGACTGAAATTTTTTCTAATGGTGTTTGTGGAGAAGAGTGATTCAAAGACCACAAATGTAAACCAGGCGTAGTATGAATTTTATATGATTCTGTGGTTTTATTTTAAACTGCTCAGAGATGTGCAAGTGAGATGGGAAGTACTGAAAAAAGATAGATAAATAAATAAACAATTAAAAATAAAATAAATACTTGGGGGTGGGGCATGGAGTATAAGATGGCTGTTTGTGTTATTGGATAGAAAACTGAGTGCTGAGGAAATGAATGGGAATATCGGGAAGGAGACCAAGGGGGCCTGGCATTCTCACCCACTGCAAGTCCAGCTTGTATGACCTAATGTTTGTTACAGCAACATGCCAGGATTCTATGAGCAGTCAATGGGGGAAGTCAGGTTCACTTAATGACTGCATGATTCACTTAACAACTGCAGTAATTCACTTAGCAACTGTGACAAAACATCATAAAATGGAGCAAAAAAATCACTTAACTGCCTTGCTTAGCAATATAAATTTTAGGCTGAATTGTGGTCATAAATCGAGGACTACCTGTGTATCCACTAAAAAACTATTCTGAACTTTTAATTTACAATTTAATTGCTTTAAAAAGCTTGTTATTTATTTCTAGTCACTCATGCCATTCAAAATATTATAATGAGAATAATTTGCACATCTTACTAGTTACAGATTTAGTTCTATTTAGAATAAAGCTATTATTTTCAGTTCTGAATGGTAATTGGCATCCCTTTCTGGATCTCCACTTTTTCTCCGCTCTCGCCTCACATTTTCACCCATCACTTTGTATAACCCAAAACATTTTCCTCTAGGTCAGATTCATTGAGAATATTGTATGGTTTCCGTTCAATTGTTCCCTAGTGGTTTCATTATCCCCATTCTCTGGGGTACAGCATGGAACTATAAAATCCTACTTTCAAATATATTCACAGCCAAGATAGCACCAATTCATACATTGTGACATAATTTTAGTCCTTTGATTCATAATTTAAGTCTGCATTTTACCTCCCATACATGTTTTTTATCCATTTTCCCATGATGAAACCACCCTCATTCAGGTCTGTTACATCTTTCGTCTTTCTCTTAATTTCACAGTCATAAAGGGGTGACATGATAGCAGTATTCCAGTATTTGAGGGGCTGCCACAAAGAAGAGGGGATCAAATTATTCTCCAAAGCACCAGAGGGCAGGACAAAAAACAATGGTTGGAAACTGACCAAAGAGAAAAGCAACCTGGAATTAAAGAGAAACTTCCTAAAAGTAAAGACAATTAACCAGTGGAAGAGCTTGCCTTCAGAAATTGTGGGTGCTCCATCCCTGGAGATTTTTAAGAAGAGATTAGACAGTCACTTGTCTGAAATAGTATAGGTTCTCCTGCTTGAGCGGGGAGCTGGACTAGAAGATCTCCAAGGTCCCTTCCAGTTCTATTCTATTCTGATCTACTTTTATTTCATTTATTTGCTAATTCATATTCTTTTTAATTTATTCCTCATGTTTTAAATCTCAATTTTTCATATAGGAAATCATCAGATGGATCTATAGGCCTTGACCTCTTCATGCCATCCTAGCTTTGATCAATCAAGGTTTTTTGCACAAGGATTAGACAAAGCTAGCAGACTTGTTTACAATATTCTTTGCTGAAAGCAAGAACAGGCACCAATATTTTCTGTTTATTTTGGCCAGTATGCCATCAACACAACCAGAGCCACATTTTAGCCCAAGGATGCTCATGCTAGAATCCATAATGTAAAAACTACCTTGCAAATCAATATATATGCAGCGTACAAACATACATTCAGGAGGCATCAAATCCAATTCTCTCCCCCCTCCACTGAGATTACTTTCTTCTCCGTGGCCAGTACCCTAGCCTATCTATTAGGCAGAGTGAGGTAGTCAATCATTTTCAGCATCATGAACAGGAAGCAAATGGCTAGCTATTCTCTTTATTATTAGAGATGTTTATAGGATTTTCTGCCTCAGGGGCACCGAGAGCTGCCTTGGATGCTATGCAGAGCTGATCATAATACCCAGGATTGCTCAAGTTACTTTTTAAACTAGAAGTAAAATCTCAGATCCCTCTCTCTTTCTCTGAATACATAATCTTAATTATGGCAAAATAACATAACCCTTTACTCACTTGCTTTTCAATACAAAATCAGCAGTTGGCTTTAGACTAACGGTAGAAGCTAGTCTATTTCAGGCAACCATCAATGTCTTAGGTCCCTGCTCAGTTAAAACTGATGGCTTTGTTGTAACATCTCTCTGCAGATTTAAAAAAAATGTTACCTTGAAGGAGGTTCGATATCTCCTTCCCACCTAGTAAACTAAATTTGCCTTTCTTATTCTCTCAGCTAAATTTCCTTATATCTTTGGTATCTGTCCTGTTCCAGAGATTGATTCCTCATTCATAGACTGTCAGTGTTTTTGATTCACACATCATATCTAGCCATAATGTACCTTTTTGTTTCTAACAGACTAATGTTTGAACCCACCCACTATTCAACAAAGCATACTTTAAAAATAAACCTTGGTGACCCCAATTTCTCTTTTTAATTATATTCATGAAAGTCATGCCAGGGGAACCTTGGTGATGTAATCTCCACAACAGAATATCTTTTTAAGGCAGAAACGGGAAAGTTCCTTGTTTTGTTAACCATTTCTCTGGTGGAAGTTACATCTTCCATCCATGAGGACCAGGTTTTATAATAATGAGGCAAGCTGGGACATGTAGTTCTGGAATATCGCACTTTCTCCAACTTCGACCTACTTTTGAAATGTGCTCACTTAGATCATGTCTTTTCAGGTTCAGAGGGCCACCTCAGCTCTCCTGCTCTTGCTGCTGTGCTCCTTTGCCAGGGCCAAGCAAGCCGTGCCAGACTGTTGCTGGCAAAAAAGCTGTTCATGCCGCATCTTTGATCTGCTCCATGGGATGGGCAACCATGCCGCCGGCATCCTGACCATCGGCAAGCGTGGCAGTACCACGACTACTAAGGGTTTCCAGAGTCGCCTCTACCGCCTTTTGCATGGGTCAGAAAACCAGGCTGCTGGGATTCTCACAATGGGCAAGAGAGCAAATTGGATACCCTTGCGCCTCAACAAGAATGCACCCAGCATCTCCCAGATGATGCCAACCCCTGTGCTGCAGAGCCTGACCCAGTCATGGGATGCCTGACTTCCCAGAAGACCAGTGCCATAAATCACAATTACTAAGAAATTACAAACAAGGAAACCCTTTTCAAGAGTTTGCACAAGTCCTTCCTGCTTTGTATCATCACTGCTGTTGGTTGCTATTTTACACCAGCCAGGTGCTAGGTGCTGCCCAAAGATAGCAGCGGTGCAGTTCTTTCATTCTGTAAATAGCTCTTTCATTTATCTGTCACCACATTCTCTTCCAAATAAAGCCTCTTGTGTTTAATAACTGCTTTGTCCAAAGATCTGTGTGAATTCAACCCAGAAACCCTTGATGGATCAACTAAAAACCCATCTCTACCAGCTTTCTACCTCTCAAACTCTTTTATATAGAAAGCATGATATGTAAGACTTTTTCCCCCCTCTTCTGCTGCTCAGAGCCACAACACCTCTGAATAGGAAAGCTCAAATTGCCTAGTCTATATTGCCTCCAATTGTCTATACAACTACCAATAAACCTTCAGCAAGCCAAACATCCAGGCAGAATTTCCTTGACATTTTCCTTGTCAATCATCAATGTTAACCCAGCAGGAGTGCCCATCCCAGATATGGTTCATGCTAAGGTTTTAAAGCTTTTTTAAAAAGGCAAATTCCACTGCAGTAATAACTGTGTTCCCAAACTGTTCGAGCTCTACTGATCTATCTCTAAATTACTGCTTCTGCCTATCCAAGACTGCCTGACCAGATATGTTGCTTTTGTATGACTTCATGGGGTTGGCAGCAGTTGGCAGCCAGAGGGCAGTGTTGGCAAAGAAAGCTGGCTACTCCAAATCTCTTTGTGTGCTAGATTCTTTTGTGTGCTGACAGATGTTTGATTGACCATCTAAGGGCTAGGCAGTCTGATTTGGAATCTATAATTCAAACTATGTAAGAAATTTTTGTGGCTAGTACAAAGTTGGCTCAGGAACACTTCTTATTTGGGGCTTCCTTGTCACACAGAATCCTAGCCCAAATGAAGCTAACCGATGTATATTTAAATAGAAGGTTCTTTCCTTTTTCATCTTCTTCACTTTTTACAAACTGAGCAGTAATTTGTTTCTAGCCAGCATTAAATACAATTCAGTCCAATAGCATCCTCTGTGCAGAAGCAGGCATCACAATTCGCAGATTCATTAGGGCAGTGATGGCGAAACTTTTAGAGACAGAGTGCCCAAACTGCAACCCAAAACCCACTTATGCATCGTCAGGTGCCGGATGGGTGTGGCCCATTGGCTGGGTGTGGCTCGTTGGGTGGGCGTGACTGTGGTGTTAACGGCAGACTGGGTGGGACTAAAAAGTTCAATCAATCAATTCCAACTTTGCAAGATTTTTTTTTCCCCCGTGAGAAGTTGAAATTGACTGATTGATTGAACCTTTTTTTTTTTTTTTGCACACGGCAGCGGAGGCCTAAAACGAAAAGGTCTTATAAAACCGAGCTGAAGACCTAGAACTGGAGCGACGGTGCGTGTGCCCACAGAGAGGGCTCTGAGTGCCGCCTCTAGCACCCGTGTCATAGGTTCGCCACCACTGCATTAGGGAAAGCAGTCAATTATATTGCTGCTGAATTGAGCTATCTGTAGTCTGAGATTTGCATGGGGTTCCCAATCAATTTAATAGAGTCTTTGGGCTAATTTAATGAAGGGAGGGTGGGAAATCCAAAGGGCTAGAAAGGGATGCAAATATTTGAAAAAGATACCTTTGAAATAGGAAATCCTCTGGATGGTCAGTTTTGAAACTAATCATAAAGTCAGAATTTTCACACAACAAATAAAACCGAAAGATTGTGACATGTGTATACAACATATAACATACTGAGTTCCAGATTCCAATTTCAGAAAAAGAAAAAAGAGACAGAAAAAGACACTTCTTAGTGGTGGCACAATTTCAGTTGTGAAAATTCAGCACCAGAACTTACTGTCCTTCTGTTTTCTTAAATTGCAAGTAGAAATGGAACCTAATTTATAATCTTTGATTGGTGATGGGTGAGCATGTGATTGTGATCACAGAACAAATAGGTTACTTACAAACCTAAAAAGTATATTCTCACAACACATGAAACTTAACTTCCTTTTTTTCCTATTGTGTGAATTCAGCCCCTTGGATTAGTTTATTGTGAAAACTCAGAAAATGGATTAATTCAGTAACCAGGTTAAGTCTGCCCTAGTCAGTGGGTCTGTTGGTTCACATGTTGCCTCTTATTTGTACTTTATCTTAACATTTTCTGTAGATTTCCAAGAAAGAAGAAATCCCATCGATTAATCACCCGGTGCCCGCTCTTTTTGGTTGCAAGTCAAGGCCATTCTGCCCAAGGAGTTTCTGCGTTGTTTGCACGCGGTGCACTGAACGAAGCGCTTGAAATGCCGCTCGTGGGAACCCGCGCGAGTTACAGCGGGCGCTGAGATCTGGGCGGGATCCCTCTGGATCCCTCCCCAGCCCCGCCGTCCGCGCCAGTCCGCTAATTGCACGGCTGGGATTAGCAGGGAGGGAAATGACAGCCGGGAGGGAGGGAGGGAGTTGGTGAGCTCCTAGGCAGCTGTTTCGCCTCGCAGTTTCCCTCGCGCCAGCCCCAGTCAGGACATAGCGCGTCCACACACACACCCCGCCGCCCCATCTTGCGCTCTTTCAGTCCGGCTGCGCTTGGGCTCTAGCCGCTGGCCAGCGGACCCCGCGGGGGCAGCAAGGCGCCGATGGTGGTGCCACCGCCGCGATGCCGGTGATGAAAGGCTTGCTAGCCCCACAGAACACCTTCCTGGACAACATCGCCAACAGGTTTGACGGGACACGTAAGTGGCCCCTGGAATTCTCCTTCACTGGGAAGAGAGTTCGTCGGCCGGGGTTTTGTGTTTGGAAGGAGGGCAGAAGAACTCTGCGGCACCGCCCTGGTCCCTCGCGGAGTTCACTGGAGGGATCGGGGCAAACTCTTGGGTTTGGATTCCCCTGCTTTCCTCCGCACCCAGAGAGCCTTCTCTCCCCTCTCTCGCCGGCGCGCCATCCCTACTCCCGGTTGGAAACTTAAAACTCCACTTGAGAAGGAGACAGGCAGGTGGGGATGCGAGGCCACCTCAAGATTTTTTTCCCCCTCGTCTCTTGGAGCGCGGAGAGGAAAGATATTTTGGGGGTGGGTGGGGGGAGGTACGAGGTATGTGCCCAACCCCAGGAACAATGACGGCTCTCCGCGCCGTTTCTTCCTGCGTCTTCCAGTCCCGCTTTGTGCGGCGCCTCTTTTTCCCCCGTCATCCCCGATTCCCCGCTCCCGAGTTAACAAAGAACCGATAAACCCTCTTTGTCTTTATCCGAACGGCAACCCCTGAGACTCATTCTCCCTCCCCCATCAGAGAAAAGGTCGATATTTTCGGGGGCGGACACGCCTCAGCAGTTGTAGGAAAAATTCCTCCCTGGGCCCAATTTTGGCTGTTCAGATGAATTGATGAACTCTTTCCTTTGGCTGTTCAGATTGGCATTTTTAGGAGTCATGTATTAAACATTAGGAGTCATTTACCTGCGCTCTCCTTTCAACTATGCTTGTTTAGATGTGTGAAAGGAGACCCAAGTAATGGTAGGCAAGCCTGGTTTGGGGAGGGGAGAGGGAACATTTTAATCTTCTCCCATGAGGTGGGAATCTGTCTTTCAATAAAGCAGTTGAACCACTGGCTAGCCTCCAAAATTCACTCTAAAAAAGGGAGCCAGCCTTATTTAGTTGGGATGGAGTGAGGGATTCTGCCCCAAAATTTTGATATGAGGCCAATCCTACTCTTTTCAAAGCCAGGAAATGTGAATCTGTGTAGGAGAATGCCTCTGAGTATGTGCAAAGTAATTTTTCTTTCCTGATAGATGATGATATGAAAAATGATCTCTCCTCCCGAATTAAAAATATTTTGCCCCTCTTTTCCCCTCCCCCTCTGTCATTGTAATATGTTAAGTTCTAAGTTTCTGGGGGAGGGGGTGGGACCCATTCACCTCTTTTTGGTACATAGGTTGTGAAACAATAGTCCAAAGCTGCAGAGGGAGGGGTAATCTGTCAATAAGGGACCATGAGTTGTACACATCATTTAGTTTAAGAACTTTTCAAGTTGTTGTTCTTGTTGATCTTCCTTGACTTTTAAGAGCCTTTTGTCCCTTGAACTTTTAGAAGCTCTGATTCTGGGTTTCTAGGTGTGTTAAGAGTATCAAAATTTGTAGATAAGCTGACTGCTGTCCCATTTCACACTATAGTATTGCTGCACAATTCCTGCTAAAATGGCATAATCAGGATGCAGAAAGATATTATTACATTTCAGTTTAATAGTCTTATGGGATGTTATGTGTCAAATAGTGATGGACATTTTTTCACTTATTTACACTACTAAGGTAAAGTAGTTTTGCTACATAGAGGAAGATTTCCTGCTTCTTTTGCTGAGTTGGAGCAAATGAGGCTGACCATCAGCCTTTGCCTTGTGACATAGGTTACATTGTGGGAGGGTGCCAAGCCCACAATAAGCCACCAAATATTTTGGCTGCAATACTGTAATGCCATTGAAACAGAGGAGTGGCAAATCCCATTCAGTGGATGCATCAGGAGATCCTCCAAACAGTATAATTTCAGAAGGGGCACTGGATTTAACTAACAAGGAAGTAGTGGGCTGGACTTACCAGTTTATGGATGGAACAGTGAAAGATTGGACTGTGCTTTTTTTTAAGTTTATTGATAGAAAGATCCTCCCTCTTCCCTCCCTCCCTCCCTCCCTCTCTCCCTTCTCATTGATGGATGCATTTTTATTTTTTATTTATTTATACCCCGCCTTTATCATTTTTACAAATAACTCAAGGTGATAAACATATCCAACACCTTCCTCCTCCTGGTTTTCCCATAACAACAACCCTGTAAGGTTGTCTGGGCTAAGAGAGAGAGAGAGAGTGACTGGCCCAAAGTCACCTTGCTGGCTTTCATGCTAATGCAGAATTTGAACTCATGGTTTCCTGCTATCTAGCCTGGTGCCTTAACCATTAGACCAAACTGGCATTCTA